GAGCTCATCCCTCTTCTTCTCGGCTTCATCAAGCTGGCCGAGCAACCTATTGTTGTCAACATTGGCAATTTGCAGAGAGGATTTTGCTTGGCCCAGCTCAGTTTGAAGGCTCTGCACTTGGCCGGCAGTGTCATTCGCCTTCTGCCGCAGTCGATGGATTCGCTCCATGACCAAGTGTTGCTTCTAGATGGCCTGCAAGAAGAAAGTTTGATCAGAAAAGAAACCGCGCAAACACTTGTAAAATTTTAGTAGAAGATTGAGATTCTTACCCTAGTCATGGACTTCACGGCTGATTTTACCAACTGGGTGTTAGGGACGTGGTCGTTGCCCACCACGTCGCTCGGCAGCAGAAGGGCTTTTGAAAGGTCGAAGGCGAGCAAATGTTCCTTGTCGCCCTTGACGGAAACATTAGCCGGGATGTCTTTACCCCGGTGCTTCAGCTGCGGTCGCCACGGAGGTGTTGGGTCGATAGTATCGGTGGGTTGCTCGGTGGTTGGCTTGGCAACCAGCTCGGCAGTTGGATCTCCGCGAGGTCTTTTGCCAGCCCGGCGGGTCTCTTGTCCGGCCTGCCCGACGACTGGAGACGCCAAAGCGACCACGGGGCCGCTGGATTGCCCGGCAGCTTGAGAATGGGTAGTGATGCTCGGTATCTCGACTGAGGTTGCTGTGAGGAGGTTCTTGATGCGGCTTCGTTTCGCCATCTCTTGTTCTTCGGTTAGCCGGATTAGCGACACGTCCGGTAGAGTTGGGTCCGGAGGAGGCGTTGGAGCACGGAGAAAGTCTGTAACTTTGCTCCGGCGTGGAGCTGAGTATCTGTAGGTTGGAGTGTAGCCGAGCAACTCGTTACAATCCCGGTGGCTGTAACGGAGCACGGTTCGGATGGCTTCAACGTTGGGATATTGGTAGTTGGATTGCAAGGCTTGAATTGCTGCAAAAGAAACAGGAAAAATAGTAAGTACAGAATGTTAAAGGCAGGGACTTAACCGAGCAAATTAGCGCGGCTTACATGTGGAACCAAAGCTCTTGCTGATGAACCAGCCCGGTACGTCGGCTGTTTCATAATTGCCAGACACCCAGAAGAAGTCGTCATTATGTAAGTCCTTGTCCGGGGTGCCGATTACTATCTTCTCCTTGCCCGGTCTTATTTTTAAATAATAGGCCAGGCCGTCGCCGGTGTGCCCAAGGGTGTATTGTCGTAGTATCTTGGCTAAACCTAAGTTTGTTCCTAGCCGGTTGTTTAGCTCGTGCATGCCATTGATTATTCGGTAGGTGTTGGTCGAAACCTGGGTGGGTGCTAGCCCGGTGTGGCGCAGAAATTCGGTCATCAGAGGGTTGACCGGGAAGCGGAGGCCTCCTTCAATTACTGACAGCACGGTGAAGGGGCATTGGTCGGCGAGCTCTATGTGGACATCTGCCGGGATACCGTATTCTTCCCTGAAGACAGCCAAGGCAGCAAGTGTGTCCACAAGGAAGCGGAATTTCCCCATGTTTGACTGACTAATCTAGCTCGGCTGAGGTGGTTTGGCACAGGCTGGGGATTAATGGTTGCTCGGTCCTTGAGAGCCTCAGGATTGGTCTTTGGTCCCCTTGGACTCTGCAGGAAAACGGAGGGTAATTGTAAGTGGGACAGGAAAACGGAGGGTAATTGTAAGTGGGAGCGCGGTCGCGCAAAACGAGCTAGAGTTGAGCTCGGTCGTGGATTGTGCCAAACCACCTCAGTTGTAAAGGTTAGCCAAGGAGCTCGGTCACCGAGCGAACCAGAGATTAGCCCGGTCGAGCGGCCAAGTCCTTTTTGCTATCCCGGTTTCTCCTAAGGTTGAGGCAAACAAAAGATTTGCTCGATCTGAGTGATTTTTTGGATCGAATGAAGATCTGGAGCCCGGTCCGCCCCAGATCTTCATTGTTCATCAGGGAAATTGAAGAACAGTGAAGAAACTAAGGGGCATTGAAGGTTTTGGGTGGAGGAGGCCCTAAACCTACGGATTTGGTGCTATAAAGAAGAAAAATATGAAACGAAAACAGTAATAACAAGGGCTCGGAGAACTTACCAGGAGAGGGCAAAGTCTTCTTCTTCGAAGACGAACTCAGCAATGGCAAGCAAGCGAAGGCAGAAGCTCTGGATCGACAAGGAGGAGAGAGAGTCGGTAAGGTTGAAATGAAAGAAGGTTCAATATGTTTATAGAGATGAATAAGATTGCAAAAAATTTGAATATGAATGGACGTGATGTTTGGCTGCTCGAGGCCAATCAACCCACGACACGCGTCCCTATTGACGGCGGCGTCAGTACTGAAGAGACAGGATGGTAAATCGAGGCATCGACCGGGCAAGTTTTGAAAACAAGCATGTCAAGTAGCCCGGTCACCGTATTGCAAACCGAGGACCGAGGAAATGTTACCCCGGTCAGAATTGGTAATCCCAGCCATGCTTGTGCGGACGGAATTAAGGGGCAATTAAGAGGGAGAATTATGAGCCGGATATGGGCCGAGTTAGAGGTCGAGCAAATTGGAGGCCCAATGGTGCCTTGGGCCGCGATAACTTTGGATTTGCCCGGAGTTGGGGCTGCTCAGAGATGGACTGAGCCACTTGGGTCTGCGCAGGTGATAACCGTGCAACTTGCGTTGCTCGGTCAAAGGCATGCACCGTTAGCTCGGCCAGGAAGTTTGTGCCAGAAGCCCGGCTGGATGGCCTTTGGTTGACCGGTACGACCAGTCTCATGGTCGGCTTCGCCGGAATGCTGCCGAGCATGGCTGGAAAGGATCTCAGTTCTTGGAGCAATTGGGCATGAAACACAACATGACTGTCGACAGCCGAGAAGATTCAGCCCGGCTGCCGAGCTCCCAGTAGAGTGGGCTGGCAGTCGGCTTAGGTGATGTTCAGCAAGATTTGCGCTGACAGATGGGATAGCAGAACCACGTGTCGAGAGATCACTGGGAGTAGATTTGGGACGCAGAAGGTATATAAGCAAGTCTGCGCCCCCCATGCTAGGGACGGAACATCTGGTAAGAGAAAAACTTACACTCCACTCTCTCCTCATTCTCTCTATCCTCAGGTGTGTGCTAACTTGATCATCGGAGGGGTTTTCCGGCCACACACCGCCGGGTAGCTCACCGTTGTTGTACACGCAGGTGATCGGATAGAAACGAAAGCTCGGAAGCAAGGAGTGCGGGCTCGCCTGAATATTTGCTCCCTGCACGATTGTTTATTTTATTTTAAAAAAAAATATATTATTAAATCAAATTGACTTTTTATAAATAATGTACACATACAGATGCCTAAAGTGAATATGATAGATCATTGAAGTAGCCTTGTAGTGGCTCAAACTATGCTGTTCAATCTATTAAATAAATTAAAAACAAGTTATTTTAATATCTAAATGTAAAATAAATATTAAGTACAAAAGTAATACTAAACTAATAAAATATACTGTAAATAAGGTGATGTAAACATATTTTTTTTAATCCCTAATTAATCCCATCATTTACTTTCCGTCGTCATAATTTCAGATTTTTTATTAGTTGATAATATCATAAAATGGTATTAACCTTATACTTTTTTGGGAGATAATTAAAAACGAAAAAGAAAAATAAAACTCATCAATTTGACCCTTATAACAAAATAAAATCAGAATTTTTAATTCTATCAATTTAAATCCTAATATTTTGATTTGTTTTTAATGTAAATTATTTGTCTTTTTTCGTTAGGTAAAACCGACAAAACTGGATATTTTAACTATTAAATTCAATATAATTGTATATAAAATGTTTAAAATATTATTTTTAATGAGTTTAATAACTAAAATATCTCTTTTTATCAATTTTTTCTTAACAAAAATAGACAAATAGTTTAAATTAATAACAAATCAAAGGATTAAGATTTAAATTGATACAACTAAAAATTTAGAATTTATTTTGTTATAAGGGTCAAATATTAAGATTTTTTTTTTTTAGATGGAGTATCAACCTTTAAAAAAAAAAAAAAAAAAATGAAACTTGCACCCAAAAAATAAAAAATGAAAATCCCAAATATGGTAAGGCAATGCATTTGACAAGTTTTGGCAGCTTGCAACACGCCATGTAGTGGCAAGTCCCCCTGGTTTCGTTGTTACCTTGGCGTCTTCGCATTAGCGCCGTCCCCACGACGCTTAGTGTGGTCTTTTCCCCACCTAATCAATCCATCCTCCCAAGGCGGAGACGACAAAGCGTATAGTTGTATATGTTGGCTCCGCTGTCTCTCCGCGTATAACTTGTTCGGTTCCCATTAACACTAATAAATGTAAAATTGACTTCATTATGATTTATTTTAAATTTTAAATATAAGATTGAATCATTATGCATTAGAACCCAACCAAACTAATTCACCTCAGCCCAACTCAACTCTAATCCACTGATCGGTTACTTTGAAATTAGAATTTACGAATGTTATGGTATTCCTACAGAATGTCCTTCTTTGTCGATAAAAAAAAAAAATTGACATTAACCTTTAAACAGACAACCAATTCAATTCTACCTTGTTAATAATTTTTAAACACAAAACTAAGCTAATGAATTAAAATAATTGAATAAACTCTATTATCCGAATTCTTCATTCGATAAAATGCTAACAAGTATCTATATGACACAAGTAAATGACAAAATATTTGAAGAACAAAAGATATTTTTTACTAAATTCTATACGTTTTTATTGAAATGAATATATATTTTTAATATTTATAAGACACCTTTCACATATTTTCTAGCATTAAACCAGTATAGGAAGTACTTGTTAACATTGTTAATTTAATGAGAAATGTTAGAGGTCATGAAAATTTTGTCATGAAAAGGATCATGAAAATTTTGTGACCCTTAGATTACCTTGATTGGTGTGTGGTACTTTATTGTAAGTGTAATCCAAAGGTCACAAATCTTTCATGACCATTTTCATGAAAGACTTTTCATGATACCTAGAATTGCTCTAATTTAATTGACACCGCACAACACCATGTTTCCACCATCTATCACGCCCCATGAACCCCCACCAATCTAAACCCTTCATTGTTCTCAATCAGCCCATCTTAAAGTGAGGAATTATTGGGTTCTTCACCCGCAACGTTCTCTCTTTTACACCGCCTTTTCTTCTTCTTTAATTCTCATTCTTAAAACAGAAATAGAGGAGGAGAGAGAGAGGAGGAACGGAGACACAAACACAGACAGTGAAGGGAGGGAGTGAGTGATCATCGACTTTATAGCACACCGCAGAGTCGCCGGAAAATGACGACTTACGGTACAATCCTGACGTCATCCTCGGCAGCAGTGCCAAACCTAGAGTTCATTTCCCGCGCAAAGGAGCGATTGAACTCAGGGCTAGCCACACCTCTGCCATGGAAGGACATGTTGAACCTCCACTCCATTTCCCTTCCTGCTACCCTCAACGAAGCATTGGGACGGATCACAACCAACCTCACCTTCTTCCGCACCAACTATGCCATTTTCGTGCTCTTCCTCCTCTTCCTTAGCCTCCTCTGGCAACCCATCTCTCTCATCGTCTTTATCATCACCATGGCCGCCTGGCTCTTCCTCTACTTCCTCCGCGACGATCCTCTACTCATTTTTAACCACACCATCGATGATCGTGTTGTGCTGATCGTACTCTCGGTCCTCACTATCCTTCTCCTCTTGTTCACTCACGCCACCGCCAATATACTCATCTCCGTCTTTGTTGGAGTTGTGCTTGTTTTGATTCATGCTGCTTTGATGAAGATTGATGACTTGTTTTTGGATGAAGAAGCTGATGGAGCTAGTGTTTCTTTTGTTGGAGTCTCATCGTCTTCGTCTTAGCAAATTGCTCTCTGCTTGGGTGCTCTACTGTTTCTGTATTAGTATTGATTGCTAAAAGTGATTGTGTTTTTCGTTCTTCGTCTTGCCATTGTGTAAGTAACTGTGTTTTACTACTAATAATTTTATGTGATTCTCATTCTAGCTTATAGAATTGTTCTCCAAACTATCTTTTCTTATTTGGCACTGAAAATTGATTAGTAAGTCGAAAATCCAAACAGAAATCGACTGATGCATTTTTATTTATTTTTGTTTTGGGCTTGAAAATCACTACTAAATTTTGGGAGGGTAAATTATACTGACCTTCCATGAGATTTATGACAATTGCGGACACCTCTTCTCAAGTTTGTGAAATGACAATTACCTCTCCTACATTTTTTTGTCAACGAAAGAATTGACCATTGCTATTAACCCCTACATTTCTTCTTAGCACCCCCACCTCCTTGAATTTTGGTTAATTCCAATTTTGATCAACCTAAAATTTCACTTTTACTCTCATTCTTAATATTTTAATCCTAATTTTTCAAATCCTAACCCTATCCCTAATCATTTCCATCTTCGACCACCCCTCTCCTCCATAACCACCACTCCCTCCATCGTAATCTGCCACTACCTCCATCGACAAGCACCCCTAACCCCTACAGTAGATTTGAATCAGAGAGAGAGATCTCCATCATGCATGCTGCGATCGCAGCTGTAACAAGGGTAGAGATCGCGATTGTAAAGTTGACCCATTCAACTTTGTGTTACCAAACAAAAAGATTCGTTTAGCATTGTGTTGTTGAACATTCAAAATTCATTCAGCATTGCGTTGCCAAACCCACTCCGCCATTGTTTCCTCCCTATCCACTGCGAGAAAGATCAAGTATGAGAGAGAGAGAGAGAGAGAGAGAGAGAGAGAGAGTACCTAGGGTTTTCAAAAGAAGATGAAGAAAAAGAAGGAGAAGGAGGACGACAAGACATATGACTATGAAATCACTCGTCATAACTTGTGATAGTGGTTTTAATAGTAGCCATTGTTGATGGGTCTTTCCTTTTGCTTTGTTTCTCACTCATATTTGATCGGAATGTAAGGAAGCAAAGACAATAGAGAGAGAGAGAGAGAACCCAAATTAGAGAGAGAAGTGAAAGGGAGTTGCAATGGTGAGAGATGATCGGAGGGTGGTCGCTGGTGGAAAACACTAGGATGGCTGTTGAAGGAGGCTGTCGTCTGGAGTGAACTGGAGATGGAGGTGGAGCTGGGGTTAGGCTTAAGGTTTGGGTTTGGGTTTTGTTTTGGGGTTTTGAGTATAGTTGATATTAAGTTGGGGGTTCAAAAACAAAATGAAAGGGTTTCATTTTACTGGGTGGGGTTCAAAGAAGTAAGGGGGGCAAATAGAAGCCAAAGAATTGGAATTGATAATTGCTTTTGAAAATTCCCACTTTACCCTTCATCCATTCCAATGAATTGATACCTACTCTACAATTCTAAAAGTTTTCTTGACTACATTCCAAAATTAATGACGCTAATATTTTATAAGAAAACCAAACTTATTATTATTTTGTTTTATAAACACAACAAAAATTCATTTTTTTTTTTACAAACATAATATTTTTTATTTATAAAATGGAAAAGCAACGGGTTTATTTTCTTCATAAAACTGTTTTTCAATATTAATATTTTTAATACATGAATCGCATACTAAACCAACTAAAAGTTGGTAGCCTTTGCAAATTTGATACTACAATTATTTTAGAGTTCATTAATTCATTTGTACATTAAAATGTTAGTTTAATCATTTAACAAATCAACTAAGGCTAAAATGGTAAAACCAACTAAAAAATTAACAGCATCTTCACATAGGACAACGTTTAAGGGAGGTAATTGTCATTTTAAAAACCTAAGGAGAGGTATCTGTAATTACCATAAACTTCAAGAGAGGTTAGTGTAATTTATCAATTATAATAACATTTGGTTTGGATTGAGTGATTTGGCGAAAAGTGTGATAAAGAAGATTGACTTGTTTTATCTATTTTATTTTATTTTTTTTCCAAAAATAGTAAAATTTTGATAAGAAACAAATTGATTGTTTATAAAATAGCTATTATATTGAGATTGCCCTTTAAAACATAAATGAAGGAAAAAGAAATCTCATTCATATCACTCTCTCACATATTTTTGTGTTTTTTACTTATCCAAACATTACAATGAGAAAATACAATAATTTCATTCATTTTCTCATCTAAATAAGATACCACAATCATTCCTTTTATTTTATGACCTCACGATCCAAACAAAGTGTAAGGCTTTGTTTGGTTACAGATTTCAAAAATTATTTTTAGATGAGTTTTCGTTTGTCATTGCTGAACTATTTTTATATTTTAGTCCTTTTTTTTTTAGATATATCAAGATTAAATTTATTTAAAAAGTAAAAAAGTTTAGCTAAAACATAAAAAAAAAATTCACTAAAAAAAAAAACGAAAACCAGGAAAAAATGCAAAAATATATATATATTTTTTCAAATTTTCGTGTGTTTTTAGTGATTTTTTTAATAATAATTTGTTTATTTTTTTAAGATGCATCTTGATTAGTTGCATCTAAAAGTACAAAATAATGATTAAAATATTTTAAAAAAATCACTAAAAACAAATGAAAATTCATCTAAAAATAGTTTATGAAAAATCAAATCAAACAGACACTAGTGCTTTCATTTGAGGAGGGACTACAAACTCATAATTTTTATCCAAAATTTTATTCAAAAATATAAATTTATAGTTGATGGGTTGTTTGACACACTAAAAATAAACACTAAACTATATCAAATTTCTTTGAATAATGGTAAGTCCATCTATCCATCTACAGGGACAAATGTGAAATTAAACTAATTTAATTGTTAAATTTCTAATTTAATTTTGATCAAAGAGACAATTGTTCATAAACTAATGGTAATTAAAATAACTAAGAGATCAAATTAGCAATTAAAATAAAGATGAAGTTACTGATTTTGCCCCAACCACCACTCCCTCCATCGTAATTTGCCACCACCTCCATCGACAAGCGCCCCTAACCCCTATAGTAGATTTGAATTATAGAGAGAGAGAGAGAGAGATCTCCATCGTGCACGCTGCGATCGCAGCAGTAACAAGGATAGAGATCGCGATTGTAAAGTTGACCCATTCAACTTTGTGTTACCAAACAAAAAGATTCGTTTAGCATTGTGTTGTTGAACATTCAAAATTCGTTCAGCATTGCGTTGCCAAACCCACTCCGCCATTGTTTCCTCCCTATCCATTGCGAGAAAGATCAAGTATGTGAGAGAGAGAGAGAGAGAGAGAGAGAGAGAGAAGACCTAGGGTTTTCAAAAGAAGATGAAGAAGAAGAGGGAGAAGGAGGACGACAAGACATATGACCATGAAATCACTCGTCATAACTTGTGATAGTGGTTTTAATAGTAGCCATTGTTGATGGGTCTTTCCTTTTGCTTTGTTTCTCACTCATATTTGATCGGAATGCAAGGAAGCAAAGACAATAGAGAGAGAGAGAGAGAACCCAAATTAGAGAGAGAAGTGAAAGGGAGTTGCAATGGTAAGAGATGATCGGAGGGTGGTCGCTGGTGGAAAACACTAGGATGGCTGTTGAAGGATGCTGTCGTCTGGAGTGAATTGGAGATGGAGGTGGAGATGGGGTTAGGCTTAGGGTTTGGGTTTGGGTTTGGTTTTGGGGTTATGAGTATAGTTAATATTAAGGTGGGGGTTCAAAAACAAAATGAAAGAGTTTCATTTTACTGGGTGGGGGTTCAAAAAAGTAAGGGGGCCAAATAGAAGCCAAAGAATTGGAATTGATAATTGCTTTTGAAAATTCCCACTTTACCCTTCATCCATTCCAATGAATTGATACATACTCTACAATTCTAAAAGTTTTCTTGACTACATTCCAAAATTAATGATGCTAATATTTTATAAGAAAACCAAACTTGTTATTATTTTGTTTTATAAACACAACAAAAATTCATTTTTTTTTTTTTTTTTACAAACGTAATATTTTTTATTTATAAAACGGAAAAATAACGGGTTTATTTTCTTCATAAAACTGTTTTTCAATATTAATATTTTTAATACATGAATCGCATACTAAACCAACTAAAGGTTGGTAGCCTTTGCAAATTTGATACTACAATTATTTTAGAGTTCATTAATTCATTTGTACATTAAAATGTTACTTTAATCATTTAACAAATCAACTAAGGCTAAAATGGTAAAACCAACTAAAAAATTAACAGCATCTTAACATAGGACAACGTTTAAGGGAGGTAATTGTCATTTTAAAAACCTAAGGAGAGGTATCTGTAATTACCATAAACTTCAAGAGATGTTAGTGTAATTTATCAATTATAATAACATTCGGTTTGGATTGAGTGATTTGGCGAGAAGTGTGATAAAGAAGATTGACTTGTTTTTATCTATTTTATTTTTTTTTTTCCAAAAATAGTAAAATTTTGATAAGAAACAAATTGATTGTTTATAAAATAGTTATTATATTGACATTGCCCTTTAAAACATAAATGAAGGAAAAAGAAATCTCATTCATATCACTCTCACATATTTTTGTGTTTTTTACCTATCCAAACATTACAATGAGAAAATACAATAATTTCATTCATTTTCTCATCTAAATAAGATGCCACAATCATTCCTTTTATTTTCTGACCTCACGATCCAAACAAAGTGTAAGGCTTTGTTTGGTTACAGATTTCAAAAATTATTTTTAGATGAGTTTTCGTTTGTCATTGCTGAACTATTTTTATATTTTAGTTCTTTTTTTTTTTAGATATATCAAGATTAAATTTATTTAAAAAGTAAAAAAGTTTAGCTAAAACATAAAAAAAAAAAAATTCACTAAAAAAAACGAAAACCAGAAAAAAATGCAAAAACATATATATATAGTTTCAAATTTTCGTGTGTTTTTAGTGATTTTTTTTTAATAATAATTTTTTTTTTAATTTTTTTAGATGCATCTTGATTAGTTGCATCTAAAAGTACAAAATAATGATTAAAATATTTTTAAAAAAATCACTAAAAACAAATGAAAATTCATCTAAAAATAGTTTATGAAAAATCAAATCAAACAGACACTAGTGCTTTCATTTGAGGAGGGACTACAAACTCATAATTTTTATCCAAAATTTT